CTCTGCAAATGTAAGTTCATAGTTCACAGCCCCTTGGGGCCAGAGTCTGAACAAGGCCCCACACGTCCTTCACATGGCCGTGACCCTTTCCATTTCCTAAGCACCTTCCCAGTCCTGTTCTGGAGTGTTCTTCACAGCCTCCTTTGAAAGGAGTCAGAGCCAGGACCCAGTGTGAGACAGAACTTCCTCCCACCACTCCTTCCCCAGATGAAACTGGTTTTTATTTTTTATTTTGTGTGTGTGTGTGTGTATGTGTGAAAAAGTAGGTAGCAAGCTCCTCTTCCCTGAAGGGATTCAAGTCAGAGATTGATAATAAGTGGATGTTGTAAAAGAGTGATTTGGACTTTGTGACCTAAGACACCCCACTGGCCTGGAGTCTGCCACTCAGAGAGGCTTGCCTGGGGACAAAGTGCTTAGGTTCAGCATCCTGACTCCAGGCAAACTTGGGTTTTGCTGCCCCTGGGCAACAAACGGGCAGCCCTATAAGGACCTGTAGCCAGCCTGGGTTGGTGTGTATCCTTAAGACATCCAGATCTATTCAGATGTCTGGGACCCAGGCTAGTTTGCCCCAGGAACTCTGACTTCCGGTTTTGCCCAGCTCTTTATTCTGGTGCTCTTGACCCCAGCAACTCACCTTCCTGTCGCTCTTATAATACAGTTCCAAATCTGTCCTGTGGCCACCTTCCTTCCTTCCTTCCTTCCTTCCTTTCGATTGAACCCAGGGACATTCTACCTCTGAGCTACATCCCCAGCCCTTTTTATTTTTTATTTTCAGAAAGAGTCTCACTAAGTTGCTCAGCCTGGCCTCAAATTTGCAATCCTCCTGCCTCAGTGTCCCAAGTTCCTGGGATTACAGACATGTGTCACCACACCTTGCTAGAATGGCCTTTTAGTTTCTTAGATACTACAAGCTCCTTCCCACCTCAGAGCCTTTATACATGATGGGCTTTTTTTCTCCCTACGAAACTCCCCCCGCCCCCAGTACCTATGTATCTTTCAGGTCTCAGTTTAAATGTTGCCTTCTTAGGGAAGTCTTCTTTAACTCCCAAGACTAAGTCAGATCTCTGTTAGATTCCATCCATAATTTTTTTAAAATTCCAACATTTAAAAAATTTTTTATTGTAATATATATACATATATCATAATAGTTGTCATTTTAACCATTTTACTTGTATAATGCAGTAATATCGATTACATTTTCTCCACATATTTTTAATCCTTCATGGTGCCTATCACAATTAAAGTTAAACAGATAGCTGTATAATTATTTGTTAATGTCTGTCTTCTCTGCAAGTCTGAAAACCCTTCATGGCAGGAATTTGCTTGATGTTCTATGATATTCACCAGTGCTTAGCACAGTACCTGCCTATTCAACAATAAGTAATTTTGAATACATGAATGTATCATTCTTAGGAAAACCGAAAACAATAAAGATAATAAATAATGAAGAAAAAAAGCCAATCATGTTCATATAACGTGGGAAAACGGGCTGTGGGAGTGGGAAAGAATTCCAGAACTAGAAGGTCCTGGTATTCCATGTTCCGTCGGAGTAGCTATATCCTTTTGGGTACATTTTCATTATGCTTGTTCCTCCTGGGCTAGCACACTCCTGAGACTGGGAGCTCACTCTGTCGTCCTTGGAGGGTTTCGCCAGTGAGAAGGGCTTGCTCGCTGGGCTTGCAGCAGCCTCCTGTGAGTGTCCCACATTCTGAGCTCTCGGTCTTTAGCAGGCAGGTTGGGACAGGCAGCAGGCAGCCCTGGTGAGTAGGTCAGTTCAGAGCCTGTCATCCTTTCCTGAGCCAGGAAAGACCCTGGGGCTCCCATCTCCTGGCCTCCAGCCTCCAGCCCACCCCAAGTCTAGCCTGCACTCACCACTATGAGCCCCCCAGACCAGGCTCTCCCAGGCTTCTACTACTTCCACTCCTTCTCTGAGCTTCTTCATCAGGCCCCGGCTGTCCTCATGCCTCGCTGCCCCTAGCCTGGCCACACTAGCATCTCTAGACCCAGGACTAGAGAGACCCAACCTCTCTGGTCTGGTGATCACCTGTGACTACTCCATAGCACAGCTTCAGCCAGCACAGTGCCCCCTGCCTGCCATTCTGGGCATCCAAAATCTTTCAAACCCTGGATGTACTGTCCTCTTCTCAGTTTCCTTCAAAGACTTTCCTCCATCTTGTGCTTCTCCAGGCTCAGTACAGAGGACTTAACAGGCCCAAGACTCAAGGCCAAGTCAACAAGTGTCCCTGATGGGTAGGCCTCAAAGAGCACAGAACACAGATTGAGCTGTGCCAGATGGGTTCAGCTGGGGCCCAGCAGGTACTGCCTCTCCTGGCTCTGGCCTGGCTGCCTCTCTCTAGAGCCCCTCTCATTCCCAGCCCTGCAACTGGGATGGCACAAAAGGAAATTCACATGGGTCAGGCCAAGGTAGAGATCCTCCTCTGGCTCCTAGACTCCCTTCTCTACCTCCAGCCTCCTGCTCTGAAGTGCTGGGGAAGGAATGGGGAGCTAAGTCCCTCTCAGGCTGTTGGAGGATGCAGGCTCACCTTTCCCCAGATGCAGCTGACTCTAGCTACATATAGGCAGGCCTGGGATGGAGCCTTGCTGCTACACTTGGCCTGCAGGGGCAGAGGAAGCGAAAGTATCACAGCAGCTGCAGCAGCAAGTGCCTCTGACCTTAGAGTGATGCTTAGCGAGGGTTCAATGTCCTTTCCTTGCAGTAACTCTGCAGGGCTGGCAGAGCAAGTTTATCTGCCCCATTGACTAACAGGTGGAGGAACTAAGGCTTAGAGAGGGTGTCTTGCCCAGGGTCACAGAGTAGGTCAGGAGGGTGTCTTGCCCAGGTCAGGAGCAGAACTGGACTGGAACCAAGGTATGTGCCTTCTAGCCTTCTGCTAAGAGAGCTGGGAGGTGCTCCAGGGGTTACCAGGCCTGTAACAAGTTTTTGGAAGCACTTTAATATTCGCTAGTGGATACAATCCATTCAACCTTTCCTCCTGTCATGGAGGTCAGGCCTTTTACTTGCATTTGCAGAAGGTGATATTAAGGCTCAAAAGGGTTCAGCAATGTACCCAAAGTCACTCAGTCAGAAAGTAGTGGAATTCATATTCCAACCTGGGCTCTTTAGCCCTTCTCTTCCCTCACTGGGTCCTGAATCTATTTACCCTAACTTAAGGGAGTCCTTCCTGCCCCAGGCTAGGCTCTGTCCCAGGGTTGTCCACGTTCCTTTAGTGGGATTTGCAAAATAGTCCTAGACCTCTGGGAGCCCATGTGCTTGGCCTTCCCCTGATCAGGGGCCGGCCCTTATCAGGTGCCGCTCTTCTGCACATGAGCCTCAAAAACCACTCAAAGAGCTGGGCGCAATGGAGCAATCCTGTAATCCCAGCAGCTCAGGCAGCCCAGGCAGGACGATTGCAAGTTCAAAGCCAGCCTCAGCAATTTAGCAAGGCTCTGAGCAACTTAGTGAAACCCTATCTCAAAATAAAAAACAAAAAGGGTTGGGAATGTGGCTCAGTAGTTAAGCTCCCCTGGGCTCAATCCCAGGTACCAAATCAAACAAAAAACACTGTGTTCCTGACCTCCCTGTGGCCCCTCGTTCTCAAGGTTCCTTCTTCAGGGAACCTTGAAAAGAGAAAGCGGCCTTGTTATATTCAAGGACTGAGATTTTGAAGCATGCGTGGGAGCATCGGGTGGGGTGGGTAAGCCAGGCTCTCTCTGAGCCCATGACCCGAGGGAGAAGGATGTGGAAGACAATCAGTGCCCAGAGAGATTCAGCCACCCCTGGCTGAGGAAGTCAGCTTTCCTCCAGGGGCTCTTGCCTCTCTGTGCAACTGGTCCATGTCCAGGGAAGGGCTGGTCCTGGGCTCTTGGAGGTCTTGCAGGTGTCTCGCCTCTGGGAGACAGGAGTCCTCGCTGGCTTGGGGAGGTTGTCCAGAGACCCAGGCTGCCTGCCCTTGCTAGGGCCTGTTTCTGATGACACGTCAACTTTCACTCCCTTTCTACCCACCCGTCTTTCTTGTACCCCCTGAGAACAGAGACCATATTCTTGTAGCTCAAACACTGGTAGTAGTTTCTCCCCATTACCACCGAGAACTCAGATCCTGGCGCTTGCTCTGTTCTACCCTCCAGCCACCCATCGCTCTCCCATCTCCAACCTCCCGGTCTTCCATTGCTGTGGTGTTCTCCTGCCTGCTGCTCTTTATCTCTTCTCTGATAGCCCAGGTCCTCTTGGCCACTCAAGGCGTATCTCAAGCACCCCCAGATAGAGACTTCTCACCCTCCTCCCCTAGACACAGGTCTCAGATCTGTGTGGCCCTGGAATTCCTTTCTCCCTACTGCTGGGTTGGAGAGTCCTGGGGCTGGGACTATGTCCTATCTTCTCAGGATCCCCCACTCCTGCGATTGACAGGGCATGGGCCAGAGTGGGCATTGGCGAAGGCCTGACAAAGTGAATCCACTTCCTTGGCATTGCAGACTAGTAGGACATACAACTTGGAAGGGAAAACTTCAGGGAAACTTCAGCCACCGCACTTAAGTACCGACAGCGAAATCGCAGCCTAGAGAGGCTCAGGGACTTGCCAAGGTCACACAGCACACTGGAGTGGAAACCTCTGGCTCCTCCCTGAACAACTTCTCCCTCACTGACCCCACATGCCAAAGCTCCCCTAAGAAGACAGGGAGACATTTTTATTGACTAAAAATTCTTTCTTCATGTAACTGTAGCCCCCAGCTCACACCCCTGGGATGTGATTCATTCCTCAGTTGAACCGCTCTTGGCCACTAGGGGAGCAGACACACTAAATAGTGCTCCAAATGACAAGAGTCTGCATCCAGTGCTTACTCCATCCTAGACACCCATCATCGAGACCCTTCCTTTCATTCTTTCCCAAGTGAAGAATCTGAGGCTCAGAGAGAGAAGTGGTTTGCCCAGGATCACACAGCAGCATAGAATCTAGAACTTGGCCCCATAGTCTTGGTCCACTGAGACCCAACCACCAACTTACCTGGTTCCCAAATTGTCCTGGGTGGTCCTCACACTCATGCCTTGCAGGCTCTCCTGTGTGATCTCTCCGCTATCCGGCATGCTGGAGTCCTTAAGGATGCAGCTATGTCCGGCTCCAGAATTCTGTGGCATCTGCTGCAGGCATCTGCTGAAGAGAACTGGGTCTCCCACGACAGGGAGGTTGGCCTTGAGTGGGCAGTGGAGGCGGGCAGGGGGCGGAGGAGGCGGGGCCTGGAGTCACCCAAAGGGGCCCATTTCCTCTCTATTTTTAGAAGCTCAGAATGCTCCTCAACAGCAAAGTTGTTCAGGACTAAAACTTTCTTTTTCTTGGTGGTTTTGTTTCACTCAGGATGAGGAGAATTTCAATGAAGCCAGTGTTCTTTTTGATGCAAATCTGCCCCGGTTCTCCCAGGAGGTCTGGCCAATGGGCTCTGGGCTTCTGGGCACCCCCAGAAAACCTTCTCACTGGCTTTAAAAGGGCCACTTTGGAGCAAAGGGTTCTCAGAACAAAACCAGACACTGACCCTGGGGTGTCTGTGTACCCTGGTGCCCACACTGCCACCTCAGCTTCCTGGGAGCCCAGTATACCCCTGGGGGGGGGTTGCTTCTCAGCCCACCTCTCCCAGCCCCTGAGCTGGAGGCTGGACACCCAAGGAGGGCCCATAGCTCCGGCTCTCTGGGAGCCCAGATTGAGGGAGTAAAGTGACATCACCAACACCGAGGGCTGTCATGGAGTTCACAGAAGCATTTGCACTAAAGCGGACAGGAGAGAAGAGACCCCAGGGTGTGACCACCCAGTGACACCTGAATACAAACATGGTTCTGCCTCTTCAGCTAAGAGAAGGGGGAATGTTAACAGCAGGGTTTTAGGCAGCCATAAATACATGCGAGAAATTCATGTAGGGCAGGGGCTTTCTCTGAATACCAGAAATCTCCCCTCTAAGATTAACTGCGCATCAGTTCCTATGTCTGCCATACCAAATACGATGGCTTAACACCACCAAAATGTATTCTCTTACAGTTCCAGAGACCATAAGCCTGAAATCAAAATGTGAGCAGAAGCCCAGGTGTGGTGGCTCACACCTATATTCCCAGCAACTCAAGAGGGTGAGGCAGGAGGGTTGTGAATTCAAAGCCAGCCTCAGCAAGTTAGTGAGGCCCTGAATAACTCAGCAAGACCCTGTCTCTTAGTAAAATATAAAAAAGGGGTGGGGATATAGCCCCGTGGGTAAATACCCCTTGGTTCAATCTCTGGTACAAAAAAAAAAAGAAAGAAAAGAAAAGAAAGGAAGAAAGAAAAAGAGAAGAAAATGTGAGCAGGGTGAGCAGGGCCAGACTTCCCGCAAAGCTCTAGAGAAGATTCTTTCCTTGCTTCTCCTAACTTCTGGTGGCCCCTAGCAACCCGTGGTCTTCCTTGGCTTATAGAGGCATCACTCCAGTCTCTGCCTCTCTCTTTACACGTCTGTCTTCCCTATGTGGGTCTAGGTCTCTGTTTTCTCTTCTTGTGAGGACACCAGTCCTTGGACAAGGGGACACCATCCCGCGTGACCCCATCTTGACTACTTTCATCTGCAAAGACCCTATTTCTAACTTAGGTTATATTCTGAGGTTTTGGGTGGATGTGAATTTTGGGGACACACAATTCAAACTGTGTACAAGAAATGTCCATGGGGATTCCTCTAAGATATCCCCAAGAGGGTCAGTGAGTCTAGCTGGGTTACAGTGTGCTGTCTTAACAGGGGAAGGCAAGTGATTGAGAAAAAGCTGGACTGTGTCTGAGCAAATTCAGGGTACAGACTTCAGACCCCCGAATGCTGCCTCCCCCCAGTCTGGGCTCCTAGAGAGCAGGAGCTAGGGGCCCTCCTTGGGTGCCCAGCCTCCAGCTCAGGGGCTGGGAGAGGTGGGCTGCACAGGAGGCCTGGGGTCTGATTTGAGACCTGAGTCTTGCATAGACCACTACACCTTCCCTACAACCTTGGGAAGGTCCCTGGCCCTCTCTGGGCCTCCTTTTAAACTGTTTGGGTCACAAGGGTGGAGGCCTGGAATCTGGCCAAAGTGACTCCCAGTTCCAACTGGACAGGAGGAGATGATGGAGAGAGATTTGCCCATGAGCCATGGTTATACCAAGAGGACCATCAAGATGAGTGATAGGCCAGTGTGCCACCATGTGAGAGGCAGCTGAATCAGAGGGAAGAAGATGTTGAATTCCTGGCTTTTCAGAAGCCTTGGTCAAGATGAAAGCCAGGGAAGCTATGTGATAAGGCAGAACAAGTTCTTCTGCCTGCAACCCTCAGATTCCTACAGATCCTGGGAACTGGCAAGGGGAAAGTTGAAAGGGCAGAAAGACCCAAGCAGCTCTGGAGAAGACCTCCCTTGGGTAGATCTTCAAGGTCCGTGTGATCTGAGGGTAGTGAGGACCCTAGATCACCCAAGAGAGTGACAAGGCCACAGAGTGCCCAGTAAGGCCACAGAAGACAGGTAGTTGAGGAGAGAATTGGCACAGTGGCAATAGAGGCTTGGGAACAAGATTCTCAGCAGTCACCCGGGGACCAGGACAAAGGGTGCATCTATCTCAACAAAAGGTCAATGCTGGGTCATGGTGCCAAAAATGATAGGGAATGGGGGAGTCTGGTTTAGCTGACTTTAAAGATGGTGAATTTCTTTTTGGAAGGTAAATATAAATAACTTGCTGGTTTTTCTGTTGGCCCCGAGTCCCTCACACCCTCTCCTCTGGCTCTGCCCCTGGAGCAGACCCATATGAGGGTCTCCTCATCAGAAAACAGGCCTCGGGCTTCTGGCTGAGTTAGGCCAATGTGGGGTGGCAGCAGGAGAGCAGAGGGTGGCTAGAAGGAGAGGTTGGGGGTGGGGGTTCCTCTTGCTCCTTCCCTGCTGGCTGATTGGCCTTGTCCTCATAACTGCAGCTTCTGTCTTCTCCCAGCCCACTCTGGCTTTGAGCAGGACATAAGTGTCCCTCCTACAGATTCCCACAGACCTGAGTTCACCTCCTACCTCTTTGGTTTATGAATGGAATGATCTTGGGCAAGGGACCCTACCTTTCTGAACCTGAGGTTTGTCATTGTGAGGGTGGGCTGAAGTTGTGGGTGAACACTGAACAGAAGATTGGGAAGGTGTCTGGACTGAGCCATCTGCTGGGATGGGCTCTCTGTAGCATTGTCACATGTGGTTTTCAGCCACCCTCTCTGCCTCCTTCCTTCCCATTGGCACTCCGAGGAGTCCTAAGTCCTCTCTACTCCACACCAAAGCAGAAAAAATTATGACCAGAAATAGCTGGCCTAACTTGGGGTGAAGCAAATGTATAACAGGGACTTAGACTCCACTTTTGCCTGGAAATGTCCGGTGGGTAGCTAAAAGTAGGATTAAAGATTTGGCACTTTTGCCTTCCTTTTATATCCATCTGCTTTGTTCTGAGGCACCCTGGATTCCAGAATAAGGTCTGATAGATAAATATCTTGTGACAATTGAAGCTACCCCCAGGCAATAGCAACACTTTTGGCCAGGAGCAACTTTCTTATTGGAGACAAGGTCCCCCCAACTGACTATTCTGAGCTAGTGGACAGACCACACCTGATCAAGATCACCTCCTTCGCCAGGTGTGCAAAGCCTCCATCCCTTGCCTTCTTCCTTCCTTATCTTAGATTTCCTTTCAATAAAACCTCAAAGTCATTACCAACCCCTCAAAGACAGGGTAAGGACAAGGGTCCTGTTGTCTTCCTGGTGCCGCTGCACTGATTAAAGTTCCTTCCATGATCTTCACTATTACCTTTCCTGTTTGTTTTTTGGGGCAAGTGGTTGGACCTGACTTGTTGGCTCTCCTTTAGTCAGGACCAGAGGACTCTGGTGACAAATGGGCATGCCAAGCCTGATTTTCTTCCAACCGTTAGATGAGGATTAGTTAAGATGGGGCTTGAGATAGGAGAGGGAGGGTGGGGTGTGAATTGAAGTGGAAAATGAGCCACATAGGGTAAAGGGAAATGAGAAGTCCTTGAAAAGCCAGGAAAGGATCAGCTCAGAGTACAGTGTATGCTGAGGGTTGAGTCCCTGCCCACCTTCAGCCACGAAAGACTGGCTTTCATAGTCCTGGGCCTGTGTGAACCACCAGAACAGACTGGGACCCTGGACCCTTTTGCAGGGATGAGGCCAGAAAGGACCTTTTAGAATTCAGGTCTGATATCACACTGTTCCTCTGCCAGAAGCTTCCAGAAGTTTGCCTTCTCTGAATAACAGCTGAAGTCCTTGCTTGGCTACTGCCTTCTGCAATCTGGCCCCACCTTCAGCCCCTCCAAAGTGGCCCCCCTGCAGCTACACTACATCCTTGCTGCTCCTCAAACTCACAGGTACATTCCTGCCTCTGGGCCTTTCTTTTGGTGGCCCCCTTTACCTAGGGCACACTTCCCCACATATCTGCAGACTCACTCCTTCATTTCCTTCAGTCTTTACCTAAATGTCACCTTCCCTGACCAGTCTAAGAACCATACCACCTAGCTCTCCTACCACTTTCTCTTTATTTTTCTCCATTCCTGTTCTCATCATCTCATTCTAATATGCTGTATGTTTTGTCATTTATCTGTCCTAGAGCACATGCTCCTTGAAGGCAGGGATTTCTGTCTCTTTTGCTCTCTATCTTCAATCGTCCCCCCTTATCTTAGATTTCCCTTTCCCCAGTTTTAGTTACCCACAGTCAACCATGGTCCAAAAATATTAAATGGGAAATTTCAGAAACAAACAATTCATGTGTTTGAAATTGTGCTCTGCTCTGAGGGTTACTTGAACATAAGCACTGAGATGCCATAGCAATTAATCTGATGACTGAGATGGCTAAGTGACAAACAGGCAAATAGTGGATACAGTACAGATATGCTGGACAAAGAGATGATTCACCTCTCGGGCAGAGGGAGAGGGATGACAGGATTTCATTACACCACTCAGAGCGGCTTACTGAGGATCCATGGAGAAGATCAGTGGCAGCCTGGCAGCCTGATGCCATGTCACAGAGCCTTTGTCACCCACCCCACCTCATCTCACCCCGTAGACACTGTTGTCTCACAGCGTCACAAGGGGAGTATGGTGCTGTAAGATATTTTGAAAGAGAAACCAAACTCTCATAACTTTTA